ATTACAGCCCAAGCCAGTTCTCAGTACAAATGTTAGCCAACGATGTTATCCAAGGATACTTTGCTCATGGATTTAGGAATGTAATCTCATTGCACACAATGTCACCCATGAAGAATATAACACACTCTAGCAGCGTTTCTCAATCAGGATGTCACAGAACCCAGGGGTGCCATTTGGGTTTCCCCGGGGTACCAACCATGAGACTCCATTTTCCCTGCGTTAGAGATAGATGGGAAGATTCTGTGATGTAGGCACACTGAAGGGAAAACGTTGATGTGATGGGGGATTCTGTCATGGGGGTACCCTGGTTTTACAGGGGATTCTCATGTATAGGGGAAACTCTGATGTGATGGGGAGACTCTGATGCATACTAGGGACTCTGATGTGATGGGGAGACTCTGATGCATACTGGGGACTTTGATGTGATGGGGGAACTCTGATGTACAGCTCCTTGAAAAAGCATTCCTACCCCTTGAAATGTTCCACATTTTGCAATGTTACAACCAAAAAACGTAAATGTATTTTATTGGGATTTTCTGTGATAGACCAACACAAAGTGGCAAACAATTTACTAATTATTTACTCTGTTTACTAATTAGGTGACTTCTGAAGGCAATTGGTTCCACTAGATTTTAGTTAGGGGTATTTATTTGTAAAACATTTTGAAAACCATTTATCATTTTCCTTCCACTTCACAATTATGTGCCACTTTGTGTTGGTCTATCACAGAAAATCCCAATAAAATACATTTACGTTTTTGGTTGTAACATGACAAAATGTGGAAAATGTCAAGGGGTATGAATACTTTTAAGGAACTGTATAGGGAGAACTTTGTTGTGATTTGAAGACTCTGATGTATAGGGGGGACATTGATGTAAAGAGGGGACCTCTGATGTGAAGGGAGGACTGTGATGTGAAGGGAGGACTCTGATGTGAAGGGAGGACTGTGATATGAAGGGGGGGCCTCTGATGGGAAGGGAGGGCTTTGTGGTGGTGGAGGCCTCTGATGTGAAGGGAGAACTGTGATGTGAAGCAGGGACTTTGATGTGAAGGGAAGACTGTAATATGAAGCAAGATCTCTGATGTGAAGGGAGGGCTGTGACATGAAGGGAGGACTCTGATGTGAAGGGAAAACTGTGATATGAAGAGAGGACTCTGATGTGAAGGGAAAACTGTGATATGTAGCAAGATCTCTGATGTGAAGGGAAGACTGTGATATGAACAGAGGACTCTGATGTGAAGGGAAGACTGTGATATGAAGGGAGGACTGTGATGTGAAGTGAGGACTGTGATATGAAGGGGGAACCTCTGATGTGAAGGGAGGGTTTTGTGGTGGTGGAGGCCTCTGATGTGATGGGAGAACTGTGATGTGAAGGGGACTTTGATGTGAAGGGAGGACTCTGATGTGAAGGGAGAACGGTAATGTGAAGGGAGAACTGTGATGTGATGGGAGGACTTGTGGTGGTGGGGGCCTGTGATGTGAAGGGGACTTTGATGTGAAGGGGGGACTCTGATGTGAAGGGGGACTCTGATGTGAGGGGGACTCTGATGTGGGGGGCCTTTGTGGTGGTGGGGGCCTCTGGTGTTTAGGGGGGACTTTGATGTGATGGGGAGACTGTGATGTATAGGGGAGAATTTATAGTGTGACAAAAAGATCCCTAAAGACAAAGAGGCCGATCATTTTGCAGGAGAAGTGCTCCCAGAGCTCAGTGAATTTTCATTTTTTTAAAGAATAGTCATGTGCAAAAAGAAAAATATAATCTGCATTTTTGTTTGCACGATTGGATGATGGGAGTCAGCAGATCTTCACCTCATTCACTAAGTTCTGGGGAAAATTTGCTTGAAAATTGAACAGTCTATTTGCCTTTAGTATATGAACCCCAGAGAGGGCGTGTCCAGGGCGTGTCCAGGGCGGGATCTGCACACCAACATGGGTAATCATCTGCTCTATACATGGCCACAGAGTGCTGCTGCCTCCATAGCAGAGTGTAGCTTCCTGTCTGAATGACATCTAAGTACACAGAGCTGCATGCAGTGCTTTGGCTGTAGGTTGGGCACCAAGACATCAGGTGGTCATACAAGCTGCTGTAAACGACCGATTTCTTTTCCAGTTGATAAATAAGTTGTACCTGTTGTCTGCAGTCTTCTTTTCTCTACATCCATGCTGCATTTTAAAGCTTGTCTGAGAGTTCAGAAAAAAGAGGGCGGAGAGCTGAAATGACACACTGCAGACCTCAGTGAGGAGAGCTCTGAGAGCTGATTGGAGGGAAGAGACACCCCCAGGGGAGGACTGATAACTCATGGGGCCCCTGGGCAATAGGGGATCATGGGGCCCCCATGTCCTCACCCACACTTAAAACCACACCCAAAAAAAAGCCTATGAAAGGTGCTAAGGGCATCTCATGGGGCCCCTTGGCAATAGAAATCATGGGGCCCCTGTGTCCTCACCCACACTTAAAACCACAGAAAAAAAAGCCTATGAAAGGTACTAGGGGCACCTCATGGGGCCCCCTACTGACCCTGGGCCCTCTGGCAGTGCCCGAGTACCCAAATGGTCAGTCCGCCCCTGGACACCCCCCTCCACACAGCTCATAGGAACAGAGCTGAGGCTGTCAATCCGCTTGAGCTCCCTCCCCTGTCACCATTTTTCTCTTGGTGTCAGGAAAACTTGTCAGAAGTGATTCATGCTTATAACAGAGGTATGAGGCAGAAGATAAAAATGACACTTAGTGCTCTGGATGAGACATGCACACTATAGAGGGATAGGCTTTGTTCATATTTGATGTCTGAGGTTTACAGCCACTTTAACTGCTTCAGTACCGGGCACTTTCAACCTCTTCCTGCCCAGGCCAGTTTTTAGCTTTCAGCGCTGTTGTACTTTGAATGACAATTGCGCGGTCATGCAACACTCTACCAAAATGGCGTTTTTATCATTATGTTCACACAAATAGAGCTTTCTTTTGGTGGTATTTAATCACCTCTGACCAAAGAATTTGAAAAAAGAAAATTTCTCTTAGTTTCTGTTATAAAATTTTGCAAATAAATAATTTTTCTTTATAAATTTAGGCCAAAATGTATTCAGCTACATTTCTTTGGTGAAAATAACCCAAATCAGTGTTTATTATTTAGTCTGCAGTAAAGGCATATTATAGAGTCCACAAACTATGGGATATATCTGAAAATCAATCAATCCTGATGTACTGACAGCCGATATCATTTCTTCAGGCCCAAAAATACCAAGACAGTACAGGTATCCCCCAAATTACCCCTTTTTGGAAAGTAGATAGTTCGAGGCATGATGAGTTTTTTGAAGTTGTAATTTTTTTTTGTCATAAACTTTTGGAAAATTAAGAAAAATAATTATAGGAAATTACTTTTTTCTCTTTTTTTTATGATTTTTTTTGTTTTTAACCACTTGCCCTCCTGAGGATTTAGCCCCCCCCCCCCCCCCCCGACCAGGCCATTTTTTGCAGTACAGCGCTGCATTACTTTAACTGACAACGGCGTTGCATTACTTTAACTGACAATTGCGCGGTCATGCAACGCTGCACCCAAAGGAAATTTACGTCCTTTTTTCCCACAAATTTACCTTTCTTTCAGTGGTATTTGATCGCCTGTGTGTTTATTTTTTGCGCTATAAAAAAAAAAAAAAAAAAAAGACCGACAATTTTGAGAAAAAAAAAATTTTTGAGTTTTGCTATTAAACATGTCCAGGAAAAAAATGTCTTTGCGAAAAAAAATCTCAATCATGTAAATTAATTGGTTTACGTGAAAGTCATAGCATTTACAAATGGCGGTATAGTTTGGTCCATATATATTTGGACACAGGCACAATTTGGGTTTTTTTCAGGTATTTACCAAAACATATTCAAGCTATGGTTCTATAATGGATATGGGCTGATAGTGCACACTCTCAGGTTTAATTTGAGGGTATGTACATCCAAATTGGAGGAAGGGTTTCGGAATTACAGCTCTTAAGATTAGCCATCCCCCCTTTTTCAAGGGACCAAAAGTAATTGGACAATTGAATCAAAAGCTGTTTCATGGCCAGGTGTGGGCTACTCCTTTATTATTTCTTCATCAATTAAGCAGGCAAAAGGTCTGGAGTTGATGCTAAGTGTGGTATTTGCATTTTTAAGGGTTGTCCTGGCCCCTTGCCAAGCCTCCTGTTGGGGATTGACTAGGATCCCTCAAAAGTGCATATCAGCCACTCCTCAGATGCACCCACTGCTTCTAGACCTTTCCCCAAAGTTCTGGAGGAGGGGGAATTTCCAGAGGGCTGGTCTGCAGATCCTCTCAGCTCTGACCAAAGGTTGGCCCCTGCTATCACACCCAGGCTGCTACTCCTCACTAACAATAGGATTCTAGCTCCTCCTAGTGGACTAGGAGGAGTGCTACAGACGTCTATGGGAATGTGCACGAGCTGCACTGTGGTTTGGCAGTGTTGAACCCGCTCTAAATCGATCAGAAGGGAAATGATATTTATTCGATTCTTTGCACATTCAGTTGTTTTGATTGATCACACATCGATCGGGTTATAAAGTTGAAGCATGTGTGTGATCAGTGCTACGAATAAAGTTTATCTAAACACAATTTTTATAGAGCGTGGAAGGGAAAAAACATTATTTTGTCCCCCCCCAGAAGTAACCAGAAGAAAGAGGCAATATCTACAAACTAAGACAGCTGAGATTTTCCTTCTCTTCCTGTTTCAGTGACAACCATAACATATTAGATATGACTTCACTCTGCTCGGAAAAGTTACCAGGAAAAGAAGAAAGAGAGAGAACCTCCCCCAAAACTAACTAGATACACTGGCTTCATATAGCCTGACCCAAAACAAATATGGCCGCTCTAATACTCTGCCCTCAGAGTGTGAGGACGGCCATATTTGTGTTGGGTCCATGTTACGCCCTGCTCGTCCCGGATACTAGGCTGTGACAGCTCCGGGGTGAGGTCATGATGTGCGCCGGAAGTCAGCGCGGCGCTGCACAGGAGAGAAGATGAATGTGTGCCGGGGATTTGCCCTTCTGAGCCGCGGTGTCCGGGATGTGAGCCGCTGTCAGGTGACTGGAGGCGCCGGGCACAGCGGATAATGAGGAGTCTGTCTACACCGTACAGTCACCTTCCATCACATGTCCCTGTCCTGCCAGAGCCCCGGTGCTAAGTGTCCTCTCTGTGTGTGACGGAAAGGAGGTTCCACAGGCGGAGATACCTGTGCGCTGACAGCGGAGGGGGATCGGTGCGCTGACAGCGGAGGGGGATCGGTGCGCTGACAGCGGAGGGGGGTCGGTGCGCTGACAGCGGAGGGGGGTCGGAGTGCTGACAGCGGAGGGGGTCGTGGCGCTGACAGCTCCCTGTATGCTGACAGCGGAGGGGGGGTCCGTGCGCTGACAGCGGAGGGGGGGTCCGTGCGCTGACAGCGGAGGGGTGGGGGGGGTCGGTGCGCTGACAGCGGAGGGGGTCGTGGCGCTGACCGCTCCCTGTATGCTGACAGCGGAGGGGGGTCGGTGCGCTGACAGCGGAGGGGGGTCGTGGCGCTGACAGCTCCCTGTGTTCTGACAGCAGAGGGGGTCAGTGTGACAGTGAAGGGGGGTTGGAGCACTGACAGCAGAGGGGGCTCGGCGTGCTGACAGCAGAGGGGGGTCCAAGCACTGACAGGGGAGGGGGCTCAGCGTGCTGACAGCTCCCTGTGTGCTGACAGCAGAGGGGGGGTCAGGGGGTCAGTGTGACAGTAGAGGGGGGTTCGAGCCCTTACAGTGGAGGGGGCTCGGGGCGCTGACAGCGGAAGGGGGTCCGAGTGTTGACAGCAGGGGGGGGTCAGTGTGCTGACAGCGGATGGGGGGGGGGGGGGGGGGGGGGGGTCGGTGTGCTGACAGCGGAAGGGGGGGGTTGGTGCGCTGACAGTGGAGGGGGAGTCGGTGCGCTGACAGTGGAGGGGGAGTCGGTGTGCAGACTGCAGAGCGGGGGTCCGAGCACAGACTGCAGAGGGGGGGCCAAGCTCTGACAGTAGAGGAACGTTGGTGCACTGACAGCAGAGGAGGTCTGAGCACAGAGTGTAGAGGGAGGGGGTCCGAGCACAGACAGCAGAGGAGGTTTGAGCGCTGACAGTAGCAGGGAGGCCATGCGCAGATTGTGGAGGGGGCTGCGTGCGGACAGCGGAGGGAGCTGCGTGCAGACAGCGGCTCCCCTCCTATCTGCACACAGAGTAACCCCTTACTCCTGACTCTGGCAGGCTTCCCCCAGCCGGTGGGTGGCTGGGTGGGTGAGGGGTGGGCATAGATTAGTCAGAAAATTTGTGGCTCCTTGGTTGCTCAGGACACTACATAAAGGCGCCTCCAGACTTCCAATGGTGCTTTGTTTTGACCACAGTCTGCAGTCGCTGATTTGGGATAAGGGGGGGGGGGGGGTGTACATAGGATATCACAATCTATGGGGGGCACTTCATACTGACTTTTTGCTTGTTGATATCATTTGTTAAGTCTTCCCTTTTCCTTATAACTAGTGCAGTGAATTGCTCTCTGCAATTGCACCCTTCTGTAGGGCACACACGATAGGATTTTTTTCCGTTCAGCCCAGATCGCCGTACTTACACAAGCGATGATAGTGCAGCGATCTCCCCGCTGTGATCTTGTGTTTTGACAGGGGGAGTGGCTTGTCAGACGGGGGCTGTGCACACGTGCTGAGAGTCAGCCTGTTCACGCAGAGCCGACCATTTTTCAGCCCGCGCGTGTACCTAGCCTTAGAGGCTCACACTTTTTTCTTTCATTGTTTAATATTCTACATGGGATTTAGGGGAGTCATTCATTTTTTTTATTTTTTTTTTCATGCAACAATTTTTTTTTCATTGCAGGTGCTCAGAACAAGACCGTTTCCTTCTTGTGCATGCGCCATCACACAGACATATCGCCATGTTGCGTAAGTCTCACAGTATTGTCAGTGGAGGACAATTTCCGTTTGAAGGCCAGCTCTGGTCTTGCTGCATTGTGGTAAATCAAAGACGAATTCTCCTGCGCTCTAGGGCTCAGACAGGTGGCAGGAACCAGGCCTGGAGGGATCGTCCACCAATGCATAAAGGGCTGTGCGGCTCCAAAACAAGGCTGGGGAAGCCCAATCAACACTGCAGAATGAAATGAAAACAAGAAGCGCACCAACCTTGCGCATTACCTCAGTAACCAAAATTTATTAATTGTAAAAAATATACTCACAAACAGCGAATAAAATCAGGCATGTAAGTCCTCACAGGGACTTGAAGATAACATGAGTCCCATCAGGGGAGTGGGTGTTCAGTACAGCTGACGCGTTTCGAAGGGGGTCCCTTCTTTCTCAGAGCTAACTCGGGGATCTCTCTGAGGAATAAGGGACCCCCTTCGAAACGCGTCAGCTGTACTGAACACCCACTCCCCTGATGGGACTCATGTTATCTTCAAGTCCCTGTGAGGACTTACATGCCTGATTTTATTCGCTGTTTGTGAGTATATTTTTTACAATTAATAAATTTTGGTTACTGAGGTAATGCGCAAGGTTGGTGCGCTTCTCGTTTTCAGCTTGCTGCATTGTGGACTAGTATGGTACACCTGCCTATACCAAGATGCTTCTATAGGCTTCATGCACACGGCCTTACAGTGTGCACAGCCTGTGTAGTCACTCTTTCAGGATCTGAAGGCACTCAAAGAAATGGATGTGAAGATGCAGCTGTATGCATTTGTGTGCTGGGGGTTGCACAAAGCACCCACACACGCACAGGCGTATGCTTTGAATGCGCAGTATTTGTATGACTGTGTGCTTGAAGCCTTAATATTTTTTTTTATTTTGCAAGTTGCTGACACAAAATCAAAATGTAAATCTACCAGTGACATCATTGTCACAGCCTGACTCAATTTTTTTCCAGGAGTGGGACAGGAAGTTCCCATCCCACTGCTGGAACCTAGCACTGCATACAGTTCATACAGCACTGAGAGCCACTGCATGTCTTGGTGAAGTAAATTGTTTGGTCCAGCTTGAGATCAGCTTTAATCACTTGTGCTCTGGAAGATTTTACTCTCTTCATGACCATGCCATTTTTTGCTATTCAGCACTGTGCTACTTTAACTGCGAATTGCGCAGTCATGCAATGCTGTACCCAAATGAAATGTATCTCTTTTTTTTTTTTTTTTCACACAAATAAAGCTTTCTTTTGGTTGTATTCAATGGTCATCACTGGGCTTTTTTTATTTTTACAATATAAATTAAAAAAATATATATTTTCTGCTATAAAACATATCCAATAAAAATAAAAGCAAATTTAGTCATACATTTAGGCCAAAATGTATTCTGCTACGTCTTTTTGGTTAAAAATAAAATCCAAATAAGTGTGTTTATTGATTGGTTTGCATGACATTTATGGCATCTGCAAACTATGGTATAGATCAGGGGTGGGCAAACTTTTTGACTTGAGGGCCGCAATGGGTTCATATATTGGACCCGGGGGCCGGACCAAGAGTAGATGAATGATGTGTATGTGTCATCCATAGTAAGTATAGCAATATTCCCCCATAGTAAGCATAGTAATTAATCCCCCATATAGTAATTCATCCCCCATATAGTAATTCATCCCCCATAGTAATTCATCCCCCCCCATATAGTAATTCATCCCCCATATAGTAATTCATCCCCCATATAGTAATTCATCCCCCATAGTAATTCATCCCCCATATAGTAATTCATCCCCCATATAGTAATTCATCCCCCATATAGTAATTCATCCCTCATATAGTAATTCATCCCCCATAGTAATTCATCCCTCCTATAGTAATTCATTCCCCATATTAATTCATGCCCCATATTAATTCATCCCTCATATAGTATTTCATCCCCCACAGTACTATTCCCCCCCAAGTAGTAAGCCAAGTCCCCCGTGTCAATTCACTTACCTTTGCTCCGCGCGTTCCTCTCGCCGTGTTCCCGCGCCGTTCCGGTCTTCAGGGCGGACTGTGAGAGGAGCCTAGCTCCCCTCACGTTCGTCACGCTGCCCCGCCTACATACATCCTGACAGCCAATGTTTGCCTGCCCTGGCTGCGGGCCGGATTAAAAGGTCCGCCGGGCCGTAGTTTGCCCATTGCTGGTATAGATACTGGAATTCGGTGAGCAGTCTGACTCTTGACACTGGGGAGGGGGGGGGGACTGACTAACTGCCACTGACATCTCTAGTGATACTAATACAGTGATCAGTGCTATTAATATACACTGTCACTTTACTAATGACACTGGCTGGGAAGGGGTTAACATCTAGGGTGATCAAGGGGTTGTCCTTAAAAATGTTTAGTGTATGTGTGTCCCTATTCTCTCTAATGTGTTTCCAGCTGACACTTCTCTTTGTGAACAGGGATACAACCACTCCTGAAAGTGTACAGCCTGCTGTCTCCCAAACAAATAACAGACATATCAAGAAGCTGGTAAGTATCTGTCATTCCCCTGTAACTGGCGTTCCTTAGGGTATGAGAAAGTGCTAATTGCAATTATAGATATATTACAAACTCCAATTGTGACTGCAGCAGTCCTATATTGTGAACTTATATACACAAACAAAATGTGAAAACCACAGACTGCGCATATCATGTGCATAAGTACAAAAAAGGTATAATTCAGTCCCAAAATAGTGAACTATGTGCAAAGTGGTGGTGTTCAACTCTTAATTTCATATCTTGATTGATAATTCATTCCAAGACATACAAGTGCTCCACTGTGCTCAAATCAGTGCCCCACATGGACTGACACTCACCATCATCCAATGACCATCTATCTCTAGAATGGTCATTCACGCTTGCAGGATTTATCCCAGTAAACCGAGTGTTGCAGCTTGTGACCAGCTATTCTTGGAATGGTCCGTACCAGAAAATGAACTCCAGAAAGCCCACTGTCTCCTCACCTCCACAGACAGGGCATGCAATGTGTTACCATAACAACAGAAGGGACATCCCATAGTGTAAAACCGCTTAATACCTTTATTTTAGGGAACTATGTAAAAGAATACACTCAGAAGAGAAGTGCCTAAGCCTGGCACCTGGTGTACTCAGCCTTGTTGCTATTGCAATGAAAGTAAATGAAAGTCGCTGTAGTGATCGCTCCTCTGAGCGGCGTGCGTTCCACAAGGCGGATGTGACGTCGGCAGAAGTTGTGTCATCAAACTTCAACGCGTTTCAATCATAGATCATCTTGAGGAAGGCACTTCCTGAAGATGATCTATGATTGAAACGTGTCCAGGTTAGATGACGCAACTGCCGCCGACGTCACATCTGCCCTGTGGAATGCATGCCGCTCAGAGGAGCATTTCGATCATAGATCATCTTCAGGAAGTGCCTTCAAGATGATCTATGATCAAAATGCATCAAGGTTTGATGACGCAACTTCCACCGACGTCACATTCGCCCTGTGGAACGCATGCCGCTCAGAGGAGTGTTTCGATCATAGATCATCTTCAGGAAGTGCCTTCCTCAACATGAGTTTTCTTCTGTTCAAAAAAAATGGATGTTAATGGATGCGGACATTAACAGATGCAAACAGATGATCATCCGATTACATCCGCTAGGCCATAGAAATGAATGGGCATCCATTTTTCATCCATAAACGGACAGATGAAAAAACGGACATACGGAACACCCGGGTGAAAGGGGCCTTAGCAAGGTTTGGTTTAAAGTGTCACTAAACACTGTGTTAAAATATCCCCCTAACACAGCATTCACTGCTACCAGGGGCAGACTGACCATTTGGAAACTCGGGCACTGCCCAAGGGCCCGGGGTCAGTAGGGGGCCCCATGAGATGCCCCTGGTACCTTTTTTCATAGGCTTTTTTGAGTTTGGGCAAGGACACGGGCCCTATGATCCCCTATTGCCCAGGGGCCCCATGAGTTGTCAGTCCGCCCCTGACTGCTACCCAGGAAAAATTTTTGATAAAATGTTAGAATTACTTCCTCATATATTATTTCCCGAAATGTTGTCCCTCTGCATGTCCCCAAGAGAGCCTCTTGTCCTCTGTGTGTGAGCACTGCACATCCATTGCAGTCACATCCACCGCTCTGCTAAAGCTAAATATGCCTGCCATCCTTGCATTTTTCAGTTGTCATGTCCAAGCTATCATGACTCTTGGTTGATGTGTTCTCTAACCCCAGGGTCTCCTGATCACACAATGCTGGGGTGGTGGTAGGATGTCCCAAAACTGGACAGAGATGTAATGAAGGAGAGAAGGAGCTGCAGGCACCCTTGTATTATTGAACAGCGCTGTCCACATGCTTACACAAGTGACAATACCAGCTTCAGAGTGACAACTGACGTGTTCCTCCCAGCTCCTCTGCCCATTACTGCATCTATAGATGGCAAACCTGATTCTTAGCACCTTGATGCTCAGTCAGGCACCACAACTCCCAGGCACCCTGCTACACAGGACTGATGGAGGTAGTAATATGCAAGGAGCAAGGAGGAATGTGTGTAGGAGTGGCTGCCTGCCAGACCCAGAGATGGGCTTTGCTATCTTTGTGCTCCTTGCTGCTCAGGTTGCCAGCGGAGAAGCACTCCATTTGGATCCAGCTGGCAAATCTTTGAGTGTAGTGCAGTGCTAGCTCTTCTCACTACAGTAGCCTGTGTGAGTGATGATTTAAAGCAATGAATGGATTACTGTGATCACACTGAGATGGGTGGTTACATCACCATGTACAGTGGGGCTGTGTAGAGCAAGCTTTACCACCCTCCTAAAGAAGGTTGGAACAGAGATTTCATAAGCATTTTTCTGCTTGTAATGTCAGGAACGAGGGGACACAGATGGATCCAAATGTATGTATTAAATGTGTATTTTTTCTTTTTTTTGGGTTTAGCGTCACTTTAACCCGTGGGTTCATTTAAAAGACAGTATTTAAGGTTGAACTCCAGTAAAAAATTTTTGGGGGGATTCAGCACCAAATAATTTACCTCTAATCCTAGATTGTAAGCTCGAAAGAGCAGGGCCCTCAATCCCCTCATGTTTTGCATTGTATTGGTATTGTTCTGTCACATGTTCTGTCCCCCTTTGTAATGTACAGCACTGAGCGAACTATTGGCGCTTTTATAAATACTGTATAATAATAATAATGAAGAGTATCCTGTGTTCCACTGGCTGCTGTTTAATTTAAAAGTCCTTTCAGTGAAGACAGGTAGTACACACAGCAGTTACCTTCCAGTGCTAGGAATTTATGAAGACAGTAAAGAGAGGGCAGTCTTTGCGTCTGGAGGAAAAGAAATGTAATCTCCAAACACGGAAAGGTTTCTTCACAGTGAGAGCTGTGAAAATGTGGAATAGACTCCCTCAAGAGTTGGTTTTGGTCAGCTCAGTGGATTGCTTTAAAAAAGTCCTGGATTCTTTCTTGGATACACAGAATATAACTGGATATAACATTTATAGGTAAAGTTGATCCAGGAAATATCCAATTGCCTCTCGGGGGATCAGGAATTTTTTCCCCTGCAGGAGCAAATTGGATCATGCTTTGCTGGGTTTTCTTGCTTTCCTCTGGATCAACTGTGGGTGTGGGATTATAACTTTTTTTTTTTTTTTTTTATGGTTGAACTGGAAGGACTTTTGTCTTTTTTCAGCCAGACTAACTATGTAACTATTAAGCTTCTAATAAAGCTTACCAGTACGTACAAGGAATATCTCCTAAACATACACCGTTTAGGAGAGATCCGCTGTTTCTGGAGCCATGCGCTCTGAAGGGATGGCACTTATGCCATCCCTTCAGAGCTCTGTGCCACCGCCGTGACCCCTGTGTGCATGTACAAGAGTGACATCATCTTGGTTCGGCCATTCAAATGGCTGGAGCCTATGAACCCAGAAGGAAGATCAGGTGAAGATGGAAGCCATGACAGTACACTGCTGGAGGGCTTCATGTTAAAGTGGTTCTAAAGCCTGAAGGTTTTCATCTTTTTATGCAATGTATATATGAAGGTACCAAACCTTCAGTGTGCAGCCCCCCCTTTATCCACTTGCAAACCAGTCACGTACCTGGTATGTCACCGATGGTCAAATTATTCCACTCACTTTTTATTTTAATCTGGAATAAAAATGCTTTCCTAAAGTGCATCTATACCCTCCTATCCTTTTCAGCCAAGGAAGCTGCCACCTTAGCTTTTGTTTGATCTGCAGCTGCTATACTTCTGCACATTCAATCAGTTATGACACCAGCCATAGAGAGCACAAGCAATTGTGAGTTAGCATTCCCGGAATGCATCTGCTTTTTGAAAACCATTAAATCTATAGGTTTAGTTGTGCTTTAAATTTCCGTTCCCAGAAGCCCTGGTCTTCCTCTGGTATCAAAAGCAACACTGAGCCATATGGTGAGAACTGACTGCAGGAAAGGGGGGGTTGTTGGGTGTGCTTCCTGAACATGTGCTGTGACTAGTCAAATACAAAAATGCAAAGCGGGTTTGAATTTGGTTTATGCCTGTAAAGCCCAAAGGTCCAATATTTAACTTAAAAACAGAGCTCCACCCAAAAGGAGAAGTTCTGCTTTAAGTACTGGTCCCCCTCTCTCTGTTAAAATACCTGCTCCCACTTCCGCTGCAATTGGAAGTTGCCCAACCCTCCCCCCCAGTCTTCTGGGACTCGTGACAGGCCCCAGAGGACTACGGGACCATTTACAAGGCACAGCGCTACTTGCACATGCGCAGTGGTCACCCAGCTATGAAGACACAAGCTATCACAGTCAGATGCCCACACTTAAGATGCCGGCACGGGGGGGGAGCGAGGACTGCCAGTGAAACATGAAACTGGCTGTGGTGAGTACACTGCTGGATCGTGGGATGGGTGAGTGGCTGTTTTTTAAACGTCAGCAGCTACAGTTTTTGTAGCTGCTGACTTTTTTTTTTTTTTCATTAGTTTTTGTTTGACTGGAGCTCCTCTTTAATTAGAATGTACTTTTAGGATTATTGGGAAGTGCTGTTTGTGCCATTCTCAGTGTGTAGAGTTCTGACATTACACTGGGGTTATATATACTCTGTGCCAATGCACACAACACTGCAGAGTTCTCCTTTACCTCATACTGCATGCAAATGAAGACAACTGGACACCATAAACTTGTTTCAGAATCGTTTATTTTTCTATGTACAGATAAGCACCACTGATGAACCAGATGTCCTGTATAAGAAGATAGAAGTGTTAGCAAAAGGCCATGACAAAACTGTTCTGGACAGCTATGAGCACTTTACAGTCCTGGCAGCTAAAGAGCTTGGCATCTGTGTGGAGGGGGTGTAAGTATTGGGAGAAATAGAGCCTTCTGCTATACAGCCTGTGCACGTTAAGTACTTTACTGTATACTTCAGTACCCTTTTGAAATGATTAGCTGAACATTTAGTAAAAAATAAAAATGTGTTACTGGCCTTCAGCTAATGTTTTTTGTGCTCATCAGCGTCTGACTGCAAGGTATGTTGTTCCTCCTTTTCAGTTAAAAAACTAATTGAGTGGAACCTTCTGCTGTCACTAACTACAGAAAAGGTTTGACTACTTGTACTAAAATGTATCTGCTCTTACTTGATCTAAAGTGAATACTGAAGTTCATGCTGTTCAGATGACAGATTAAATGCAGGCCCGTAATGGCACCGACACATACTGTTCTGTACCTCATAAGCCTTCAAACCTGGCGTGCTTAATCTACCCCCCTCCCCCCCCCCCCCCCCTTCAAAGAAACAGCTCGAATACTGAGGTGTGTACTTAATTTTAAAATTTTAAAAGAAAAAGAAGATGCTGGTTACCTCTTGGCTGGACAGAAAAGCTTTATTGTGTAGTTCACTGACTTAGGATGGCGATACACAGTCAAAATTTCAGCCGGTTCCTGAGCAGCTGGTCAAAATTCGCTCACTGGGTGGCAGTCAGCAGCCCTCCTGTCTGACATGCCTCAGGGCTGGGTGGAAAATTGTCATTTGAAAAACCAGCTGCTTCCAGTAAGATGCAGCCGCCGTTCAGGTGTTTTGACATCTGTCCAGGCTGGCTGTCAAAATACATTAGACAGAGAGGAAAATTCGGCCATCCATGCTGTATAGTAAGTTTTTTTCATTCAGCCAGCACACTGAACAAAAAAAAAACTGAGTGTATAGCCAGCCTTAGTTTCAATTTGTTACTATGGGCATACTTCAGGGCTAAGCTCCACCACCACCTTTCATACATCTGTCCAGTGAGTGTACCCTTACTAAGAGCTCATTTATATATGTGCGCGGCGTGGTAACACGCATTATGTTGCACCACCAAATATGCTTAAAATCGCACTTGACCCTTTTTTGTTTTTTTCCTAAAGCAGCGCACTTTACTTTGCTGCATGCTACATTTCAGATGTGACGATTTGAGTGCATTTTTTTATTGAGTGGAACTGCAAGGCATGTTACTGCAACACAACAGTATGAATATGGCCTTATAGTTTCCAATCCCTACCCCTCCCTCAGCCTGGAGTTACAGGTTTACTTTTGGGGGGGAGGACTACTAAATTGTTTCCCTGCCGCTCCTCACGTCTCAGGAGGCTGCAGGACCATTCAGACTGCCGCTCAAGCATGTGCATGTGGGGAGCTGGCCACTGCCAGGCTCCAATATCCAAGATGGCAAAACCAGGGCACAAGATGGCATTAACCTGCAGGAGACGGGCAGGTTTTTGTCAGACTTTACTACCACTTTAATAGTCCTCTATCAGTCAGTAACCTGAAACCTGATAGGGTTCCCAAAAGCAAAAACCAGTCACTAGTAACTAAGTAAAAATAAATTAGGCAAGCATCTTTTGGTGTCACCACTTAGGCAAGCCTAGATTTGCATGCCAGAACTCCCTAGAGTAGCATAATGCACATATTTGGGTGATAACTAAATGTGTGCAAGTCTTTTTAACAGCTTTGCCTTATGTGTGTTAACTGTAATTTAGGAGCCCAAATGATGTCCCAAAATAAATATCAATGGTCCCCAAATAGATAAGAATATTCATTCATAAAGGTCCCAAACCAATGGCCGATAGCTTAGGTGCCTGATCAACACCTGAGGACTTAAGAAAAAAAAAAACAAATGTAGAACACCTCTGATCTAAACTGATGTTCGTAAAACGCCTTTCTTTTGAACCTGCCTGTTGTCTGAACTCTTGTGACTCTACTTTACCTAGTATTCTTCATTTTTTTATAGTTTTCTTCTGGATGTTTAGAAATATGTGAGTTTTAATGTATGTGATTTTCAAATAATTCTTTAGAAATGTTTCGAGCAATGTTGATGCGCCAATAACAGCAATTGCAGCCAATTACATGTCAGTCAGCCGTTATAAGGGTTGCATTCTTCTGTTTATCCAGATGTGTAATTGTGTTTTTTAGGCATGAACCGCAAAAGAAAAAAGAGAAATTCACTGTTTTAAAATCCGTACACATTTTCAAAAAACATAGAGTCCAGTATGAAATGAGGACACACTACAGGTGCTTAGAGGTGAGGAACTGATACAGTGTCATAGGAGGACTTTCTTTTCCAAGCAAGCCTGTGCATTCCCGTGTTTTCTAAGTTACCTATAGTTTGTCCAGTCAACCTAGGGAAACTAAATTTGTTTTAGGTCAAGTTTTAATCTCTTTGAATATTTTTTAACTCAATATATACGTAATTCTTTGTTAAAAAATTGTAATAGGGGATTACTAGAGTAGTCTGAGTTAGTTAAAGCAGCAGAGCAGCTTGCTTTGTAGCACCATGTGTCTGATGGAGACCCAATCATCTGCTAAATTATGTCACAATCTCATTTGAGGCTTATTTTAGCAAAGGTGAAAACTAAAACGTCATAATTGAAAAGATCCTTCTGCTGGCTGGATAGAAGTCTACATTTAATAGTTTGCTATATTTTAAATTTACCTGTCTGAAAAATAAAACATAAGAAATTGTGAATTTTGACTATTGCCAGAGAGAAACTTTATAGCCTTAGGCAACATTCGCACGGATGTAAATTACGACAGGAATCTGCCGATTCCTGCCACCTGTGAGCGGCTAGCTGGGGCCACTGTGTCCTGTACACTGCAATGACAGGTCTGTGGTGGCCGCAGCTATCTACTATCAATCACCGCAGGTAATCGCTTGCTATGCAGATAGCTGCGGTTGCTGGAGACCTGTCATTGAAGTGTACAAGGCTCAGCGGCCGCAGCTAGTTATTTACAGGTAGCAAGAATCAGTCCGTCATCCATTAATGGATCTGAGACATGCAACTCCTTGTTAAGATATTCGATTTTTACACACTAGTGCTGAGGTGTGATATTAGCTAAACTTTGAAGAAACCACATCTTCATTTTTTTTAAGTCACAATAATTTGCCATCTGTCATTCCCTATTGTACTGTCCACCCTGTGTGGCCCCAGAAACCTCTTTCTGGGCCCCAGCAGATGACTGCACAGCATAATCCCATGCATCTTCACAGGAAAACTTCTGCAGCTGCTTTAGGTTCCATATACACTAGCAGTTTTAAGCTCCTAGAAGCTGTGTGTTATCCTATGTGTCCATGCACATTATTTTAAGCTAGTAACATTTTTCAAGCTTCAGTATTTAGGAACAGAAAAGAAGAAAATGTTTTTGGTTTTTCCAGCAGAAAGCGCTGAACGCTCCTAAAAGTTTTTTTTTTTTTTCATGTATTGAAAAAATGCTCCTAACTGCTGCTAGAATCCAGCACAAAAACACTTATCAGCGTTTTTCATCTAGCTATTTTTTTTTTATTATTATTATAAAATACAATAATGTGCATGGAGCCCTAATTTTTTTTTTTAATGTGACTATCATCATGTCAACCGACATGCTAAACTTTGCCTTGAGGACACTGTCAAGTGGCAGTGGAAGGGTTATTGCGTCACAGAAGGGAGCAAGGGAATTGACCAGTCCTGAAGTGATTGATTTCTGTAGGTTTGAACCCAACGTCTGCCCAACAATTTACAGTACTAAGAAAGAATGACTTGTAAATACATATCTGTAAAATTGCGTGCAGTGAATACATTTTTTTCTTTAGTAGGGTCAGGGTCTGTCTTGAAAAGATTCCAGTATTGTTATGTAGTATGACCTCTGCCAGTAGCCTGGATGTCATGTAGACTCTTTGCTTCCATATATTTTTGATCACTGCCCTAGAACCAGCATGGGCATTAACTTAGAACTATTGAAAACAGTAGATTATTTCAACAGCCAGTAAACTAGCATTTTTGGGGAATTTTCAAGTGACATATTTCAACACGGGTTTACTTTAAACTTTATGGTGCTCTTGGCATGTATATTACACAGTTTTATTGAAGGAAATGTGCCATGAAAATGTAACTGCTGTAATATGGGTTTCTCTTCCATTATTTCAGCTAAAAAACACCTGACTGGGAGCACCGCCAATGTTTACCTAGAATATATACAACGTAATGTCCCAGAAGGAGTTGCTTTAGAAATCACAAAAGTGAGTATTGATGTTTTGAATGAACAAAACTGTCAGAATTAGTAGAAATGTACTAAACATACGTATTGTTTTCACCCACAGACCAGGATCCAGAAGGTACCAGATCATCTGAAAAGTCCAGTATGGGATACGGTGAACTGATGATGAGAGAGCAATTTTGCATTTGTGACGCTTTATTTAAACTGTAATAAAAAAAAAAATGTTTTTCCCATTTTTTGCAAGTTTGATTTTATTTGTAAAGGGAGGCCATTGTTCTACTTTAAAGCCCAGCTCTAATGCTTACACACTCCACTGGCTGCTCTTCTGCATGCAACATTAGGGGTAGCTTTACTAAAAGAATTGAGAAGAGACATTAAAAAGAGGGTGCTCACTTCCATGACTGAACGCAGCATCACTGTATTTACAACCAGTATTCAGGCCATTAGTGTAAATAAGGCATCAAAGTGCTTGCATGATTTCCAAAAATCTGCTGCAATTCTGTCTACTCCTGAAAGCGTACGTGTTATTACCACCATCTACTCAAGTATAATAATCTTTAATTTAGTATTGTGACTAATTTCCAAATTTGGCCTCAGATAAAAGTAACTTCTATATTAAATCCTAAAGAACTGAAAGCTTACCCATTGAATGATTTGATTTAGCTTGGTATTAGTCCCATCAACTGCCCATCCAGACACTCCCAACTTCCACACAACAGTATCTTATATTAAATCCCTGAAGTGATGGACCTTCAGCATGTTAAGCTTGGTTCACACTATGCAGGCTGGTTGCAGGTATTCACATCTTGCTTTTATGAGACACACATGGTTGCCATTCATTCGGAATCGCACCCCCCGCATCTCAGCCCGCAGTGTGATTGTGGGTGTCGCAGGTAAACTGCATTATCAAGAAGACTATAAATCAAAGAAAGGCAGCACTCCTATTTACTATACTTTTACAGTGCTAAAATAAATCCTTAACCAATCATATATTAAAATTAATATAAACATAAATCAAAACAATATTCAAAAATAAATTGTCCCTAGAAAAAAAGTGTCCTTATATGACTTATTCAATAAACTCAAATTGTGAACAAAACATATATGAAATGTCCAACACCAATAATATATGTAAAAAGTGCTTTTGTCTTCAATGTTCAACCTTCATGTGAAAAAACACAAATCACCGAGCACAAATCCACGACCAGATAGATTGAATAAACTCACCAGAGCAATATGCTGGTCAGATTATAAACCAGCACAAGCACTTCTGCTCTGGGAGCAACGATCTGCAGATGGATACCAGCGTATATGGGATCATTCAAAAGGGCAGACACTTCTCAATCTTGGAATGAACTCAGAAAGCAAGAGAGGAAGGACTCATAGCGTAACAATGTAGCAAAAAGTTTATTCATAAAAACATGACATTCCACTCACATTTACTGGTGTCCGAGCCGACACCAGCATAAACAGCGTACACAGCCAAATAAAACAGCCTGCTCTGGCCTACACAGACGCCGGCAGCTCGCTGAACGTAGTGACGTCACCTCCAGCAGCCCCGCTCTACGCATTTCGTCACCTGATGTCCTCACAGAGCGGATGCTTTCTGAGTTCATTCCAAGATTTAAAAGAAGTGTGTGCCTTTTTGAATTATCCAATATACACTGGTATCCATCTGCAGATCGTTGCTCCCAGAGCAGAAGCACTTGTGCTGGTTTATAATCTGATCAGTATATTGCTCTGGTGAGTGGATTTGTGCACGGTGATTTGTATTTTTTCACATGAAGGTTGACCATTGAAGACAAAAGCACTTTTTATATATATTATTGGTGTTGGACATTTTATATATATTTTTTCACAATTTGAGTTTATTGAATAAGTCATATAAGGACACTTTTTTCTGGGGACAATTTATTTTTGAATTTTTTTAATTTATTTTGTTCATATTAATTTTAACATATGATTGGTTAAGAATTTATTTTAGCATTATGAAAGTATAGTAAGAAGGAGCGCTGCCATTCTTTGATTTATATGTACACCTTGTTAAGGGTTGGGTGAGCTGCTCTTTCAAATTTTGCACATTGGTTGGTTGATATTTAGTGGCGCTGTCCATATTCTAATTATTTATCAAGAAAACTATGCAGCTTCCCCGTGCCTGCATTTTTAAAAAGGTGTGTGCAGAAATGTGGGCACAGCAGGCCAGTCAAATGAATGGACTGCCATGCCCAAGAAAATGCAGCTCGCATAGCCTACAATAGTATAAAATGAGCCTGAAAACTACACTGACAAGTTTTGATCACACAAAAGTCATAAGAAATCTTCTGCTTTAGAACATTGATTTACTAAAGGGGCAGATATTGTTTACTTAGTAAGTTGAAAATACTCCCTAAACTTAGTAAATCGTGCAGTTATGTTCATTTCAAACATCCAAATCCCTGACAAAAGAAAACATTTAAATCTTCTTTGCACATGATTGGGTGTTAAAAGCAGAAACAGCTTTGCCTTATTCACAAAGTGAATAGGTGCTGCCCTTTAACCCAATTATTAGTAGTAGAAAGAGCTTCAGGGGTGATTTGGGTAGTAGTAAATCAGTGCTCCAAATGATTTACTATCTGTGGACTGAGTAAAAATGATTAAAGTGGTTGTAAACCCTTACTCCCAGTGCGGTGACTGGCCTCAGGTGATACACAGAGATGAAACAAATCCTCCTATAGGATGTACCTGTTTTATCTGCAGTCTCCTCTTCTCTACATCCCTTCAAAGTCCAGAATTTATAAAGTTGGTCTGAGATGTCAGAAATAAAGGGGCAGAGAACTGGGCAGAGCTTAGTAAGGCAAGTTCTGACAGCTGATTGGAAGGAAAAGACACACACCCCCTTCACACAAGAACAGAGCTGAGGCTGTCAATCAACAAGAACTCCCTCCCATCACCATTTTTCTCTTGGTGTCAAGAAAATATGTCAGAAGTGATTCATGGCGATAGAGAAGCAAAGCAGCAGCCGGGAAATATACTTGGTGCTCTTAATTGAGACAAGTACATACTATAGAGGGATATGCTTTGTTCATATTTAATTCCAGAGGTTTACAACCACTTTAATTGTGCAAAGTCACTTACAAGTGCAGTTAAAAATGTACAAATAGGACCTGCAGAACAAACAAGAGCTTTCATTCAGTCCCCGGAGACAATGCACCCTTTTGGTGTTGCAAAATAACCCCTCTTCATCAAGGCCTGTTACTATTGATGAAGGGGTCCCTATATAGCAGATTGTCTCCTGTGCCACATAAAAAGCACTCCCTTTAGCTACTTGTGCTAGTGACAGTCATACATTTTTGGAAGCATGCATGCCACAACCTGTTACCTTAGGACCCATTTGGTCTCAGCTTTTACACTGGAAGGAATCCACAAACTATCCCTGATTTTAGGTGCAGTAAAATCTTTTGAAGTCTACAGCAGCGTCCCTAGGGTTGGTGTCTTCCCTCCGACGATCCCCACAGGGGTTAACAGATCTCTCCAAGAAAAGGAAAGTTTTAAAGCGAGCCGATGATCCCCGCAAGATGGATCGGATCTGCAGATTGGGGAGCATAATGGATAGTCCGATCCATTATGCTCAATCCGCAGATCCAATCCATCGTGGGGGATCGTTGGCTTGCTTTAAAACTTTCCTTTTCGTGGAGAGGGTCCGGAGTCACCCGGTGCAGAGCCCACCCCCTGCACCTGCCTAAAGATGTCACTAGACTACAGTCCTCTCCCCTGAAGAGATTGATCAAAAGCTGTGGAAGATTTTGTTTTGTTTTTTTAGTTGCATGATCAAATCTCTGCTCTAGCCTTAAAGCAAATGTCCCTAATGAAACTGAATAAAAGCTCTCCCTACAAGTAGATAGTAAAGACTTCTCCCACTGTCTCCTCCACTCTCTTAAAGAGGAACTCCAGGCTCCTCTGACTGTACAAAAGTGGAGGACTCTGGTTAATGCTGCCCTTCCACTCTATAAGCTGATTATTTGTATTATGTAGTATTTGAGACAGCTGGGTCTGTAATAGACAAGGCATTGGCCACCTTAAATGCATTTCCTTGATTGCGCTCACCTCCATACCATTTGTGAAGCTTAACTATGTATAGGTCATTACCTCTTCCCTACCCTGCAGGCCGGAATGCCTCTTGGTTATGGACTGATGATCTTTGGGCTCTCATCTCTGCACGATGTGGCAGAGCTTGAGGCTAGAGAGACATAAGTCCATTGGATTTTAGCAACACTTTTGCTCTTTTTATTTCTGATTTTGTTACACAATGATCCTTGTAACACCTTGACTGGATTATGTATACTTGCTCTTCTGTAAGTACTGCTCCTTTGGAGTTGATGTACCACTCCTGTTTTTTAAACTTAATAAAGTTTACTTTTAAAATCAAAAGAGGACCTCCGCGGAAAGTAAATATGGTCTAAATACAGGAGTCACATATTCGTAATTGAAGCCTGCTGTGGGTTTGTGTATTTATTCCAGATTTGTGCAACAAGACCGAGTTGAAATTTTACTTCTGTGATAAAGACCAGTTACTGCTGCTCTCGCCCCTTGTGCAGGGTGACTGGTCTTGTCTCCGCCCCCTCCTCTAGTTTTCTGGAGGCAGGCTGTAGTGGGTGGACCTGCTGAATTTCTCCCACAACTCTACACACTGCATAGGCTATGTATAACAGAGGGATGGTTCCACCACTACTTTCACAGTAACTGTTCACAAAGGCATTTGGTGTACACAAAGTGGATTTATTTGCTTTGCAGCTATTGAGGAATATATTTAACCTCCCTGGTGGTATGATTATTTCAGATTTTTGGTGCTGAAAGCGGTACCATTTTTTTGCATGGAAATATGTAGTTTTTTTTATTGTAGGCCTGTAATTTAGGAATAACTCACTGAAATCTGTACGAACAAGAGTCTAGTAAACATTCCGGATATGATAAAACTTGAAACACGAAATCATAAATTATAATTTAATAAATACTCATAAAAAATAATATAATAATAAATTTAATTCAATAATATAATCAAACCAAAAACACTGAAATTTGAAATAT